AGAGAATTTATATCTTTAGAATGTTAAGCTGAAGTTCCTGAACGTGGCAAGATTCCATCTGATCACACTTTATTGTATGTTTTTTTTCATGATAGAGTTTTATATTATTCTCCATAAAGATCTTGTGACTAGTTATAAATTTATATAAAATGCTTCCTTTTTATTTATTATTTTTATTTTATGTGTATGTGTGTATTGCCTGCATGTAGGTAAGTGCACCCATGTCGTGCAATACCCACAGAGGTCACAAGAAGCTGTTGGATCCCCTGGGACTGGAGTTACGGACAGTTGTTAGCTGTCATGTGGGCTCTGGGAGTTGAACCTGGGTCTTCTGCAAGAACAACCAGTGTTCTTAACCACTGAGCCATCTCTCCAGCTCCAAAATGCTTCCTTTTTAAATCATTCTTAGGAATAGTCTCCTATCTTCTATTTAGTTTCCAACAAAATCACTTTTGATTTTTGTGAGTTAGTCTTACATCTATGAGCACCACTCAGCTTGCCTCACTGTTTCTACACCTCACCAGCTAGTTCTGTTGGGTTTTCTACATGGCCAATTCCATGGTCTGAAAATAATGCCAGTTCTAACTCTTCTCTACCAATACTGGGACAGATTTCTTTTCTTTTTGGCGTGTGTGTGTGTCTGTGTGTGTGTGTCTGTGTGTGTCTGTGTGTGTGTGTGTGTGGTGTGGTATGTGTGTGCCCAGGCACACCTTATTTCTTTAAGAAGGACCTCCCACTGAACCAAAAGCTCACCATTTTGGCTAGGCTGGCTGGCCAGCCAGCTCCCAGAATCTGCCTGTCTTTGCCTCCCGGTGCTGAGCTTTACAAGCAAGTGCAGCCACACCTGTTTCTTACATGAGTTCTAGGATTCAAACTCAAGTCCTCAGACTGGCACAGCAAGCGCTCTTACCCACTGACCCATCTTCCCAGCCCCAGATTTCTTTTCTTGGCCAGGAATTCCAATATGTTCTAGCACAACCTTGAAAATGGGTGTTATAGCTTGAATGTAAAATGGCCCCCACAGACTCATGTATCTGAATCTCAGCCCCCAGCTGGTGACATCTTTTTCTGATATAGGACCTACTGGCCAGTGTAGGACCAAAGGGACAAGGCTTATGGGTTATAGCCTGGCCTGGTTCCAACCCAAGCTCTGTGCTTCCTGCTCTGCTGAGATGTGGGCAAGCAGAGCCTCCACACTCCTGCTGCCACAGAGGCAAGCTGTTCCTGTCACCACACCTTCCCCACTATGGTAGACTGTATCCTCTGAACAGTGATCAAAACAAACCTCTCTTCTCTTAAGTTGTTTCTGTCAGGTATACTCTGTCAGGTGTTCTGTCATACTGACAAGAAAGGTAACTATCCAATGAGCACCTCTTCATCACCATGGACCCCAACTTCATCCTTCAGGTATGACATCCTCTGACCCAACATATGTACTCACCTGTAACATGTCTGTGCTTTTCTGGAACGCCCTGCTTCCATCCTTCCAAGCCTCTGACTGCTGAGCTCCTGAGAGAGGTGCACCTATTGGTCAATGGACAAACCATCTTCTGTCTTGAAGAACTGCTTTGTTTATTATCCATTTAACTGGGGCATGTTTGCAAATCTACCCAACTAACCAGCTGGCTCCTTAAAGACAAAGAGTGTTCTTCTCCATCCTGGGGAGATACAGTATTTCCACAATAAACAGATATTGAGCGTATGACAGGTCCCATGGGCCTTGGGGCACTGTGGGTTCGAAGCTAGAAGGCAAATCTGGGGACATCAAGGCTGGGAAAAGAGGTCCTAAAAGCCCAGGAACTCCTTCTGCCTGGATGCGTCTCTGCACTTCACATACATCAGCTGGCTAGGAGCTTATTGCAGAGCCCAGTAGGCCACCATAGTAACACTCACTTTACAGTTGAAGAAAGAAGGCTGAGAGAGATGAACTAGTCTGCCACTTCTTGTCCAACTCAGAACTCGTATCTGCATTTCCTAACTCCCAAGACTTCTGACTTCCTTGCAACAACTTTCCCTCAAAACACAACTTCTATAACCAGCCTGGTGGTTATATAGACAGGTAGGCCTGGGCCTGGGCTTGGGTAAGTAAGTCCCTTAGTCTGACAAGCCCACCTCGGCAGTTTGTGTTAAGCAAACCAAAGAGCTGTGCACAGAGATGTACTTACTAATGCTCATCACAGGAGTATTGTCAAAACTCAATTAAGAAAGGACAGAAAGCAAAAACAAAGGCCCGTGGACATTAAGACAAGAGCATGCTGGATGAGAAGCCAGGCAGCCAGGCAGATGACCACCAGAAAAGCATAATCAGGAGGCACCAACCCAGAGAGACGGGCGAAAATCAGAGGCTCAGTCAAGTAGGGCCAGCAGGCCTTCTAGGCAGTTTGGATAAGTCAGTTCTGGCACCCAAGTCAGCAGCCAGCATCCTAGGGCAGGCACAGAACACAGGCCTTATGACCGAGCCAGCCTGAGTCTCAGCCAGAGTCAAAACCAATCACAGCACAGAGCCCAGATGGAAAGAACCAGCTTTCAAGGGAAGCAGAAGGGGGGCTGCCTGGGGCTCTTTGTCACTTCCTGTCTCTGCCTGTTTTCAGGGACTCCTTGGTCCCCAGTGTCTTTGTTCTTGACTACTTACACGTGTGGACTCTAATTTAGGTTTTTTGAGGTGGTAATGGCTGCCTCATAAAGCCATAGCTATTTTCTGATGACCCAGGTGTGGTACTTGGCATCTCACTGGCCCATGACACTGTCCCTTTACAAGGCCCTGTTGACTATCTGGGCACGGTCACCCTCTAAGCATGGAGTGGGGGCCAGGTGACCCTTCCCAAGGCCTGGGCTGGGATTCAGTTAATCTTTCCATGCCAGCAATGCGTGAGCTAGATGCCATTCCAAATTCACAGATAAGGAAGAAGGAAGAGCCTGGGCCCCATGCAGAGCTAGTAAGAAGCCTTGTGTCTCTGGAGTCTGCTCCATCAGCCAGGCAGGGGTGAGCACCATGATACCCCCAAGCTAAGAAGCTGCATGTGTCTATACAGAGTCCTTCAGAAAAGGTCCCCACTTGATTCCAAACCCGGGACTATGACAAATGAGCCAGCTAGAGAACAGTAGTACAATTACAGGGCAGTGATGAAGAAGCATTTTGAGGAGGACTCCACCTTACAGCCCTCAGCACTTCAAGTGCTGGTCCCATGGGATCACTGAATCCATGCTGAGCCCCTTCTGGGGCTTGCCTGCTGCAGTGTAGATCAACACCAAGGAGAGAAAGACCATGTTCTTTCTTGAGTACCTGGCAGCTATGAGCCAGCAAAGGTTCAACATGACAGTGCCTGCCAAGATAGCCTTCTTGTCAGCAGCTGCAGAAATTCCACCAGTCCTAAAACCCAAGGCTAAGTCCCATAGTGGGTTTCACACACCAGAAGCCCCTACCTGACCATCCACACCCCTGTCTGAGACTGTGGAGGCCTGAGTGCAGGACCCAGAGGAGCCCCTTCCTCAGCACCCCTGGAGGTGGGGTCCAGCTTCCTAACAAGCTTTCCCACACCAAACAGGCTCCTCTTCATTCCAAAAGCTCCCAGTGGGATGATGTACCTGGCCCACGCATCTCCAGAGGGAGGGGAGGGCAAAAGGTGAGGCTCTTGTGGGATTTGTAGAGGGTTATTTTTAGCCTATGCTCTGGATGGCTCAGAAAATGGCTCCATCAAAGGAGTTATTCTCAAAGGCCATCAAGAGACATGGGCCTTGGAGGGTTTATGAGCTCAGATGCCCAAGTGAGGGAACCCTCCTGGATAAGTCATCACATGACCTAAACCAAAGGATAAGGCCAAATTAAGAGAACGTGGCTTCAGGTACAGTCACCTGAGTCCCAGTCCTCCCTTACCCAAGGGATTTTCCTAGCAGGGGAAAGACTCCATTCAGGGGGTCCTAGGGACCCCACACAGTACTTTTCCTGCCTCCTAGTGAGTGTGTACACACCAAGACACTATCACTAAGCTTGCTGCTGGGACCCCATCAGACCCCAGTTCCTGAGCCTGGACATCAAAGGGCATTCCCCTCACTTGCAGCTTCTCTCCTTACCTACGGGTCAAACGCTAAGTTTCCCAAGCCGGTGCCACACTACCCACCTCCAAACCCCCACGTCTCTGATGCATCCCTGGAGCCCAGCAAGGGAGCTACAGCCAAGGCAGCCCACCCCCAGTCAGTTCCTGGAGAATGAGAGAATGATCTGTCTCCAGATTAGCACTAGACTACACTGAGGGATTCTCTCAGTCCTGTCCCTGGCCCTCCTCAGACCCACCTCCACTCCTTTCAAGATCCCTAGAGCTCTGGGGATCCCATGCCCCAGCCCTGCTCTGAATTCCACCAACAAGGAGGCTCAGAACTCAGTTTCTCCTGTAATGCCAGCCACTATTCATACTGGGAATACCCAAACTACAGAGACCAAGCCCTCTTGCACCCTAGTCTCTGACTCTCCTTCCTGCCATGGCCAAGCTCTGGGCAGGAAGGGGCCAGGAAAGTTGACCTTGACATTCATGAAGGACCTTATCTACTTGGAGAGGCAAGGGAACCTAGAACAAGATGGAGATTGGGACCTAGGCCCTCCTAGGGAGGCACAGATCAGCTACTCTCCTTTAGGCTAGGTCAGATCTCCAGGCCCCTTCCAGAAAAGGCTTCAGAGAGTAACTTTTGGACCATCCCCTGGTCCTTCACCAGAGACCAGGGGAGGGGCAGACAGCAAGAGGAAGCTTGTAAAGAAAAGACTTTGAAGATGAGACAAGCCTGTGGCCCAGGGTTGCTGAGACGGCTGCACCGGAGGCAAGCGAAGTGGAGCTTAAGAGGCAGGGCGCTGCCAAGCCAATAAAATGCAGCTATTGTCTCTTCGCGGCCCCTTTTAATGCCAGCTGCTGAGGGCATATAAAAGGGCCTTCCACGACCCAGAGAGCACACTGCCTTGGCTCCATCTTCTACCAACTTCTCCCCTCTTCACGCGCGTCCTTCCCTCCGCGATGACTTGTGGCTTCAACTCCGTGGGCAGTGGATTCCACACTGGAAGCTTCAGCTGCGCCTCGGCCTGCGGGCCCCGGCCAGGCCGCTGCTGCATCTCCGCCGCCCCCTACCGCGGCATCTCCTGCTACCGCGGCCTCTCCAGGGGCTTCGGGGGCTTCGGCAGCCGCAGCGTCAGCGGAGCCTTCCGCTCAGGCTCCTGTGGCCGCAGCTTCGGATACCGCTCCGGAGGCGTCTGCGGGCCCACTCCCCCCTGCATCACCACCGTGTCTGTCAACGAGAGCCTGCTCACGCCCCTCAACCTGGAGATCGACCCCAATGCGCAGTGCGTGAAGCATGAGGAGAAGGAGCAGATCAAGGGCCTCAACAGCAGGTTCGCCGCCTTCATCGACAAGGTGGGTGTCCTGGATCACACCCTCCTGGAGCCCTCCCTGGGCACAGCCAGGCCTGGGCACTGAGAAGGACAAGAGGAGACACCTCTGACACTGAGTGCCCAGTCTCAGGGGAGAGGAGTGCCCCCTGGACACACTGAAGACCCACAGGACTCATCTGACAGTCCCAAGAAGCAGAGCTTATGGCAAGCATGGCCAGGCTGCCTTGGCACAAGCTGACTGCAGGGAGTCCCAGGGGCCTGCAGCAGGGAGGTGTGGGCAGCCCCAGGCTGAGGAGGGAGCTCCAGCTGAGGGGAAGGGGTGCTGACTGCCGGAGGAAGGGACAGGAGTCAGCTTAGTGAGCTTCCCATGGTCTGGTGACAGCATCCCGGGGCTCCATGCCAGACCCCATGTGGGATGTGACTGTAGGTGCTCTGACCACGGGGGGATGCCTCTCTCTCCTGGCTCAGAGGAGGGTGCTGAGCCCAGCGTAGGACACCTGGCACAGACTACCTGGATTCACAAGACTGTGCACTGACCCTGTCTACCCATTTCCCAGTGTGAAAACCCAGGTGGGATCAAGATTAGGGAATGGAGAAGTTGGTTCCTTCCCAGAGCCCTCTACCTCATCTCTGCCCTCACCCAGAGCTCCCCCTGAGCTCTCCTCTCCCGCTCACCCCCATGGCAGGTGCGCTTCCTGGAGCAGCAGAACAAGCTGCTGGAGACCAAGTGGCAGTTCTACCAGAACCGCAAGTGCTGTGAGAGCAACCTGGAGCCGCTGTTCGAGGGCTACATCGAGACGCTGAGGCGGGAGGCCGAGTGTGTGGAGGCTGACAGTGGGAGGCTGGCCGCTGAGCTCAACCACGTGCAGGAGGCCATGGAGGGCTACAAGAAGAGGTGAGAGCCATGAGTGCAGGGCTGGCATAGAAGTTGGCTTAGGTGGAAGTCCAGGGCACAGGGAGTAAGAGTGTGTCCAAAGGGTGTGAGGCCCCCAGGCTTGGGCATTCTAGAATCCTGCCCTCTTGTGAAATTAAAGCCTAGACAGCCCTCCTGGAGGAAGCCCGAGAGTTTTTGAAGAGCTGCTCCTCCTGACTTTCAACCTTTGCACTGCAGACCCTGAGAAGATTCAGCTCAAGGCATTAGGAGGCCTAGAACTGGGCCCAGAGTGTCCCACTGCCTCAGTTACTCAGTCCTAGGACTCTGGGTCTTCCAGCAGTTGGGCTGAAACTGACATGCAACTGAGGGGAAGGGTGGGGCTACAGTCCAAGACTCCAGATATCCCCTCCCAGCAAAAGGCTGAGTTTGAGGCTGAGTCCTCATTCTAGGTGACCCTAGAGCATCCTTGCCCTGAGTACTGGTGTACCTCCCATGAACACTTTCTATCCCCAACCCAACTCAAGTTCATGAAGGAGACTCAAACAGCCCAGCTCCATCCAGAAAGACCCTGACAGGCATGCAGGCTAGCGGTGAGGGCTCTTCCCCTGCCCTCTCTGATATGGAATGCAGGGTTCAGACATGCCTGCTCTCCCTGACCTCCCCTCTCTCCACCTAAGGTACGAGGAGGAAGTCTCTCTGAGAGCTACAGCTGAGAATGAATTTGTGGCTCTGAAGAAGGCAAGTAACAGGGACATGGGAAGCAGAGTAACACGGGATCCCTGAGGGACAGACTGGACTTTCAGAGACCCCCACAGCTCAAGCTCGTGAACAAAGGGGTAAACCTTCCCAGATCAGGATAAGAAATTCCCAGAGAAGCATCCCAGTGAATGTCATGTCCAGTGAATGTCACCTGGAATGCCCATTGGCACCTGCCCTGGTGCAGAGGGTTGCCTTCATTGACCCGAGGCTGCCTTTCTCTGCTTCTGAGGCTTGGGTCTATAGCTGCAGTCCCAGGAACCACAGAGCTTCATTCCGCCCATTGAGAGGTGGTGTGTTCTACTTCCCATTGCACAAGTCTGAACACATGCCAGGACTCAATCCAGTGTGCAAGGTGTGATGAAGTAGAACAGGGATGGCCAGGTGGCTCCATGGATCATTGCCAGGATAGGACAGAATCAGGTGGTAGAGCTGGAAGCCATCTGGGAGGCTTCCTAGGGAAGGATTCAAGAGAAGAGAGAAGGTGTCCTGGAGGATCTCAGAGAGACACTTCCTAAGTGCCATGCTCTGCTATTGACTATGGCCATCCTTGAGCAAGCATTCCCTCAAAGTGGAATCAGGGGCAGGCTTGGAGTCCCCAGGGTCTCAGAGAGACACTTCCTAAGTGCCATGCTCTGCTATTGACTATGGCCATTCTTGAGCAAGCATTCCCTCAAAGTGGAATCAGGGGCAGGCTTGGAGTCCCCAGGAGATGATAGACAGGAACTGATAGAGAACTCAGAAGAAAGGACAAGGGAAAACATCTCCTACTCCCTGACCCCCACACATGTACTTGCACGCTCACATATATACATACAGAAACATGTATACAAATGCACAGCTTCCAAATCCTGCTCTTCTATCTCTATTATAAAGAGACTCTTCCAGCCCAGTGTGCTCACGGGCTTAGGCCTGCAGCATGGCCTCTGTTGGGTCCTTCAGGGAGGCCTGGAGATCAGGTGGGCTGGCTTCATGATCAAAGCCAAGAGCCCCTTAGACAAGGCCTCCTTCCCCCTCTTTCCTCAGGTATGAAGAAGAAGTTGCACTTCGGGCCACAGCAGAGAATGAGTTTGTGGCTCTAAAGAAGGTGAGTGATTGAAGCCAGCTCCCATCCAGTCCCACACACCCTGTCCCCTCTGGCCTGGCACCCAAAAGTCAGATGCCCTGGGCCCAGGGGAGAGCTGGTATGACAGCCATCTGCTGCTCCAACAGGACGTGGACTGTGCCTACCTGCGCAAGTCAGACCTGGAGGCCAACGCAGAGGCGCTGACCCAGGAGATTGACTTCCTTCGACGGCTGTACGAAGAGGTGAGGGCAGTGATCACGACAGGCA